TTCCATAACTTCGTGAGTCTTTTGCCATCTTTTGTTAGACTCCTGAGATGGCAAACCAGAAGTCCTCAGTAGTGGGCCAGCTACAGGAGAACCTATTTTTCTTCTTCACATTTGGTACTGGTTATGGCCGAAGACAGGAAGCAAGGGAACTTCATGGAAGAAACTTAGTAAGATTTCATTTTTTCGTATTAATCAACCAGTATGCTCTTTAGAGTTGCAGTGAATAAGGCCCTCATATTTTTTAACTGTGAAAAATTCCAAACATTTGTAGATGGGCTGCCTCCATATGTTGGTGAAGAATTTGTTGTATCAATAACTAAATGACAGTTTGTATCCAGCAGGAAGCTTTAAGTAGTACTTGGGGGCAGCTGATAGTCCTGAGGTCCCAGATTCCACTGATCAAGTGGAAGGTCAGTTCACAAAGGAGGATTTTTCTTTCTGGAGAGAGTTTTACTTGATCTGGAATGGACCGAGATCATTATCATTAGGTTCTTTATGTAGGTTAAGGCTTCTTGAGGAAATACATTGTAAGAAAGAGCAATAGTTCACAGGAATAAGTGCTTGTAATGGTGTAATGATTTCACTGTTTAAGAGGAATTGATTCCTAGTTTGAAACACTTCCAGTACTGTGTTCTTCCCTTCTGGTCTATGAAAGCACACAGGTAAAATGTGCTATTGCATTAATTACAGGGTTGTGTGAAAATGATCTTTCCATACCTAGGAGATTGGCTAGTCCTGGAAATAATTTTAACAGTTAAAAGAAGCATTTCATTGCCTTCTCAAACTGTTAACTAATCTTTCCCAAGAGATAACTAGAGAAATCCACCTTAATTCCAATTCAAAGAGTGAAATTAGGCCATAACGATCTTTGTGAGTCTAGTTCAAGACACAGTTATGAGGAAGTTTGCCAGGATACCTCAGATTTAGTTGAACCTAAATGCCTCAGTGAAAACGTGTATCCTGTTTCATGCACTTTAATAAAACTTCATGGCAGATTACACATCATATGAATGCAGGATAGATTAAATTGATACATCCTTTTAACATGCCTCACTTGGACATCCTACCACTTCCTTCCTGAAATGAAAGAAAAAGCCCAGAAATGTGCATCAGTCACACCTCCTTTTCCTTTCAGGTTTTCAGACAGACATGTATTGGAGTGAGTTTTGCATACGAATCAGCTACAGGATCATAGTATAGGTAGCAAAAATTTTTATTGTGCCTGAATTGTTGGCACGCCTGCAGTGTTGAATGGGTTTTTCATTTTCTTTGTGCCGCTACCACTAAGCATAAAGGCCGAGCTATTTCCTCTATCCCAGTTTAATTCCATCTCTGCCATGGAATCTTGCGCATATGGGACTGAGGAGGAGAGGGAGGGAGGGATGGTCATGGAGATGTTTGGGTAGGTAATGTATCTTGAAGAAACCAGTTACTGTAAAGGTAAGTAATATTTTTCTCTTCTTTCTGAATAGTTGTCTGTTTAAGCTTCATGAAAGGAGGTGGCCACTGTTTATTATTCTGCAATTTTATCAAAAAACAGGAAGATAAATTTGCCCTCGGTGTCACGTGCTGATGTATATATGAAGCAACCCAAGTTGTACTCTAGTCCACTGCCTCAGAGGATCAGACATTGCAGGAAAAACTGTAGTTGTAATTAACAGAAGTTTTTCTCCAGAGTTTAATGCTTGTCACAATAAAGATAGGATACTTCATGTAACTATAAAGAGGAAAGTGACAGCAGCACAAGTTGAAGGTCAGCATAAGCCTGTCATGTTTCAGAATTTAGAGTCAAACAATTGGAAAAACATGCTGGTATGTTAAAAGACAAATGCCAGTTCGCTTTTATTTACTTTTTCTCTATTAGTACATTTTGTTTGAAACAGCAGCTTGTATTTAAAAAACAAAACAAAACAAAAAAAACCCACAAAAATCAAATGCCAATCAGTTAGTCATGAATCAAAGAGCTAGAACCTGAATAATTGTTTAAAAGTTTCTTGAGACTATTCTGCGCTGGTGGAGGTGCTATCTGGTCAAGCTACAATCTGCTACTCCTGCCAGGCATCAGTGTGGTTTTGTAAGGTGGTTACATGCATTGTGACACCGTTACAAGAGTAAACTTGTGCTGGTTTAGGTTTGTCTGAGACAGAAGGTGAAAACTTGTAACTAATCTCTCCTTACTGGATGGGTTATTAGTATTAGACTAAAGTTAAAAGATCATAATTTCTAGCCAGTTGGTTGTAAGTCATCACTGGATTTTTTTAACTTGCAACTCTGTACTGTGTATGTAAAAAGTTTGAATATTATTTTAGGAAAAGTGATTATATATTAATATAGATTTTTCAAGTACAGACAATGTGCCACTGTCTTGATCAGCTTTGGTACCACCAGTTGCTCTTCCTCCTGTCCCTCAAGAGTTCACCTGTGTGAATAGAGCACTATATGGTGTCAAGGTTAATACAGTGTCAAATTCACCTCTTAAATGTTTGCCTGGGATGAAGACGCAACATATATTGTGTGTTAGAATGGTTTATTCTGCGTTGTTATTTTAAAGCAGTTTGCATTTTACATGCAGCTGCTGAAATGAACTGTTCCCATTTCTGTTGTTTGAAATGGAGAGCTACACTTCTACACTTCCTTGGCTGTCCATGAATAATATATCAAGAAGTACAGTCAATATTTATTGTGTAATGCAGATAGGCAAGTTAATATTTTTCATGTCTGGCACAGTTAATATTCTGTGCTGAGTTTTTTGTGAACATGTTAGTCATCTTTTTGACGAGTCTTCTGTTAGGCTAATCAGTAGTTTTGGAAGATATTATCAGTGTTTCAGAAAGATTCAAAAAGTATGAAAGCAGGTTCTGCAACTCCTGTTTTTGAAATGAAGATCTGTCCATTTATTTCTTTAGAAATCAGCAGTTACTTGCCCTGTGAATCCACTTTGGAAAGTAACCATCAGGAGAAAGCTCCTCTACCTGCAAAGCCTAAAATCTACTGTTGCCTGTGCTAGTGGTTGAATACTAGCCTTTCTCTACACAAGGGCAGTGGTGCCAAAGGTCTTGCACTGGTCCAATACAAAGCTTTATATCGCTGCTGGAACACATGCGTTGAAAGTGGCAGTTTTGAGACTGCCAGAAATCATGTTCATACAACAAGTATCCTTGGTGATGTATCCCAAGTCCTAGAAGGCCGGAATTGAGGAATAAGTCAGGTTCATTCTTTAAACTTTAATGACCAATTTTTGCATTATGAAGGTTGCAAAGTCAAATTTTTTCCAGGTCAGTCATCTTTTTCCTGATTCTTTATATGGTGTGGAAAATTTCAGTCCTAAATACAGGACAGAAGACAAAGGGGTAAATCTGACAAAAAGCAAAATGCAAAAAAACAAAGGGAAACATTTTTGATTCTTCCACTGCCGCTCAGACTGCTAAAAAGCCCGTGTGGTAATTTACATGTGCATTAATATCTCATCTGAACCCTATGATCTAAACCAATCTGCAAGACAAGAAATGCAGAAATCTTCCATCAAGCTGCTCATTTCTGGTGGATTTGTTAAGCAGCCATGGTCCAAGACTTTCGTATATACCTGTCAGGACAGCCTGCTTTGCAGGGTTTTGTCCACGCTGCTACAGCAGAAGCAGGAGATACACTTTTATTTTCCTAACAATATTAGATTAAGGAACATCTCCTTTACAAATAATAATACCATTAATTTTGTATATATTTTTTCTAAGTTCTACTGTTTGTATAAACTGAGGACCAGTATGGTTTTCTTCAGTGGTCTTTGAATATATGTGGGACATCTGAACTTGCAACTGTGAAGATGCTCTTAATCGAAGAATAAATTTGAAGGGAGTCTTGTTACTCGAATGTCTGAGATTCAGGCAGCCCAGATGAACCCTTCATAATTCCTAGAGAGTTTTTGATTAAAAACTTCCTTAAAGACTTAATCTGAACACCGGAAAACTCTGTTGGGTTAATGTTTGCTTTTCTCCCCCTTAACCTGGAAGTGGCAAATTCCAAACTGCAGTGCTATGTTTCGCTTCTTACCACACCTACTGGTCAATGTGTGAGCAAATGGGCAATGCTGAATGCCTGCTACCTTCCCACCAATTCTGGCTTCTATACTTCTTTGGAACCGCTTACTAATCCTTGTTTACCAACAGCCCTTGCTTATCTGTGCTGTATAATCTGACAGGACTGTGGTATGTCCAACACAGAGGGCATGCACTCTTGCTTTGAGGTCCTGCTTCACTAGCTTCTGCTTCTCTTTACTCCTACTCTTGCATCACTTCATCTTTCTTTCCTTTGTGCGAAGATAATTTGCCTGCGGTTGCGCCTTGGGAGGGAGAAACACATTTTGGTTGGCGTAAATCTGGTTGATTAAAAGGCTGTGGTTCCAAACAAGTCATCTTCACCTAGTCTCCCGTCATTTTCCAGGACAATCTACGCAAAAAGGATGATCGGATTGAAGAATTGGAAGAAGCACTCAGAGAAAGTGTTCAGATAACTGCAGAGCGGGAAATGGTGCTGGCACAAGAGGAGTCAGCCAGGATCAATGCTGAGAAACAGGTCTGCAATCTTATAAAGTCACGGGTAGTCCTCTTAGGAAAGTAACCCAACAGTAAAGTATTATTTTCTCTGCTTTACTGTGACACACAGCTGGTTTTGTTTGATGATCCTGTATCTCTGTTCCAACATTAGGTAACAGAACTCATAAAGTCTGCAAAGCCTCCATGATAAGTTGTATTTCATAGGTAAGATTTGCTTGAAATTAGAAAGAAATATAAGGTGTCCTGAGCTTTAAAATATTATTTTAAGTAGTAATTCTTCTGATCTGTCTTGCCTATCAAAGCTGTCTTCCCACGTGTAAGCATACTTAGGTTTGTTGTTGTTCATTGAATGTATTTAAAGACAATGATTTTTATTAGCGTAGTTGTGTTTATGGACCACAGTCTCGTTGCACTTGCAAAACAACTGGATAAACAAATCCCTTTGCTTGAGCCAAGCATGCACACAGAAAATACACTTGTGTGATGAAGCCACAAGTGTAAACTTTCATACATGAATTGATTCTGTGCCACTGACAAGATACTCTGAAGAATCATGTGTGTGCCTCATTTTAACTCACGTAAGTAATCATCAGGAAAACATACCATAAGTAGTGAATAAAATTCTGGGAGATTTTTATAAAGCTTTTGAAACAGAAGCTGAACCTGGCATTCTTACTGTGCTTTTTGTGAGCCCCTTCAGTGTTTTTCACTGTTCCTTACTTGACCGTAATTAGCAAACAGGAGCATCTGGTCAGTTGCATTGCAAGGGAGTGATCTCCTTCTCTGTTATTTAAATAAGAAAAGTTCTGACTAAGTGCACTTTAAAAGGTTTTAAGAGGTTTTTTCCGACGTGTATTCTTATATCACGTACTTTTCAAAATAAAAAAAATAGAAATATCTTAGTAATAATCGAAGTTTTCAGGATGAAAGCAACTATTTCTCTTCAGGCTAAACTCAGCTGTTTGCTGGTAGAGGTATTGAGGATAATTCTGGATGCTGTACCCTAAGATCCTAGACAATGTTATGGAATTAATTTTCAAGAATGCCTTCTTTCTAAACTTCTTGTAGCCTTTAAAAAAATTGCATGAAATAGAAATGTTAACTAGGTAGCAAATACCACATCAATGATTAGATCTCCTTGAAAGGAAAATATATATCTCAGAAAGGAGCAGGTTCTATGCTGAGATGCAAAGGTAAACAAAATAGTATGTGATTTGATGCCTAGGATGTCATAATGTTTTAATTTCTTTGTTACAAGACAAAGTGACCATTTTTACATTCTTTGAGCACCTAGAAGCCTGTAGAACTCACCTATTGTGATGTCTGTGCTCAAAACACAGAACAAGATGCATAAGGCTTCGTGATTTTTTTGAGGGAATGTTTTGAAGAAGGTAGTGTGTTAATTCTGTAAGGGCTAGAAGTATCTGAAGTTAGGAAAGTAAGCATAAAGATGAACATTTACAAATTTTATGCATACATAACATTGTCTTGAATTAGAGGATGATCACAGGTCATCTCAGTATTGAAAGGGGGGTGGAGTACAGTTTGCAAAGGATAAATAGCTTACATTTGATTCACTAGGAAAGAGGCATACTGGTAGCATTAACATGATCAAAGCTACAAGGAGATTGCTGCACAAATGGGCACAACCTGCACAAGAAAGATTTTTGCAGAGATCCAGACACAGGAGAAAACCTACCAAAGAACTTCAGTTACATAGATACAGTCAGAAAAATCTTATATTGGAGATACTCCATAAAATAAATTCTGCAAAAAATTATTTAAAAAATAACCTTTTAAAGGAGGTTTGAGTCAAAGATACTATCAAGATTAATAGAAGTATGACAGTTCTGTCCTAGATGAAAAGAAATGAAGTAGTGAGGAAGAGTTCAGTCACAGGATGGAAAGGTCGACTCTTTTTTTAGTGTGTTGAGCATGAGCTCCTCATAGTTGTCTCTCCACTGTGAGCTGTTAGCAGCAGCTTTATTATGGAGAGGAGAGGAGATAAGTCTTGGTCAGTAAAATAGGGAACTGTTGTTATAGAAGTGAAGTTTCATTTATACACGAGGCATCCTAAAACAAGAATGTGGAAAAATAATAGTGCTTTGGGAATATGCACAAATTGCAGGTCTGTCGGTCAGGAGGCTTTTCAAAAGAATTCACAATTCACCAGCAAAGCCTGATGAGAGGCACACAGTGAGATCAGATGGTCAGAGCTTGTTGAGAAAGGGAAATAGCTGGTGAGTACGGAGTTGGAATTGGGTGTACATTCTGAAAGATGAGGCAAGGCAGGGAAATGTGCAGCATGAGGCTCAATAAGCCATATAGATCAGTGAGAGAGATTGAGAGGAGAGGAAGAGAGCCAAGACAAGTAAGATTTGTGGGTAAAGATTAGTGGAATATGGTGGGCAACAGCATCGTGAAAAAAAATGAGTATGAATTCAGTAGTATGTACAGAAGTGAGGAGGAGAAAGAAGGGTGGATTGAAAGCACTGAGATCAGAAGAGGGAAAAGTTAAAAGTCCGTACTGTCACTGATTGACAGCGATGTCTTGCTCCAACAGAAGAACTAAACTGCTGGCTTTGACCAATCATAGTTTTTAAAATATGACCAACAAGCCAGCATGAAGGAAAAGCAACTGGAGTGTCTTGTTCCAGTCAGCACTGGGAGAGCTGCTGTGCCCTGTTTTGTCCCATAGGATTTTGTTTTGGTATCAGTTAAATACAGTCAAGTAATAGAGTGATGGCAAGTAGCTGTTTTTCCAAGGTGAGGAGGAGACTTTCCTTCAAATGTTTTTCAGTTCATATTCCTTCAATTACTTTAAAAGAATGCTCTCTCTGTTTTGTTATGTTCTGTGGAGGTTCTTTGTAAAAGTGTAAAAGACACCCTTAGAAATCTTTAGAGTTTTAAAATGCAAGGCTCTGTTTTCTATACAATATTAATGGCAAATCCATTGATTTTTACAAACAGTAATAGGTTAGGATCATTCTTAGACCAAGTATGAGTGATATATGTGATTTTTAAAATGTTGATGTTGTCTAAACTGATTATAATTTGCCTTTAATTGCATGCTTTTTCTTTCCTCTCTTCTGTTTATCTTGTTTTCTACCATTCTGCCACTTCACTGCCTGTCTGAAGCTGTTTAATGAATCAATGCATGAGGTCAACCATTTTGGCTTTAAGTGGTTCAAGGTATGAGGACATCTCATTTGTGTGTACCTCTGCCCCGATATTTAATGTTGTTTTTGTAGCCCTGTGTTGTGCAATCCTACCCTCCATCATCTCATGATATATGTTTTCCTGCTATTTTACAGGCTTCAGATTTGAATTACAGTCCATGAAGCTACTCAGGATTTCATGGTTCTCAGATAGCTGTTTCAGATTAAAATCTTGCTCTCTTTAAGCCAGTGTTTGAAAATATCCTGTGTATATATAACTGTGTTAATACACAACCTAAACCTATATATGGCAAGATGTCTCCAGCTGCCTAAAGCATTCTATTTATTTCAGGATCTTAGACCTGTTCTTTCTTTCATCTATCAGAAAAATAAATCAGGCATTTCCTGCTGGGATCAGTGGACCCATTGAATTTGGCATAGTTTCATTAACCTTATTGTTCTGTATGACAGAAACCCTACCATACAGAAAGCAGATGAGGGAGTCTTACATAGACATAAAGATATAAAGTTCTTCAAGGTCGGTCTTTCTAACATGTTCACCTGGTTTTGTTGGTGCACCTGCTGAATCCTGTATGAAAATATTCTTGTAAATTCCTTACAGCCCTGGGGTTATGTACTACTGTGGCTGATCCCACTAGTTCAGCCCTCTAGGTGGAAGTTCAGAAGGTGTATGGAGACTTCTTTTTAAGTACTCTCCATAAGGCTGAAGGTAGGCTTTCTCGACTAAACACTTCTATCATGAAGTTCTTTCTATTAGAGATGGCAAAACCAAATGTGGATCCAGGTCCTTTTTCTGAATTAACCAAATGTGAGTTTACTTTTATAACGTTCCTCAGGAAAAAAGAGAATTAAATATAAGTTTTTCCCTGCTCAAAAATACAGTGATAGTTTTACCTCCCTAGGAGAAAGTGCTGGACATCTTCTTTGACAAAAGGCCCTGTCCTGCTCACAAACATTCTTTCACTGTCCTGGTGCATCTTAGCATCCCTTCTCCTGCAGCGGGAGGCAGGAGGTTATCTTCTGTGTCAACTTAGTCATAATCAGCACAATTCCTAAGACAATGCTGGAAACATGTTTCAATCTTCATGAAAGAATAAGGCCCTTTTCGTGGAATAAAGTGAAATGGAAGGTCAGGTGCTGTGATTTAATGCAAATAGTTAGTGTCAGATCCTTGACTCAAGGAGCACAATATTAGAATTACTTGCATTTTGAACCTTCATTATTGGAGGGGCATAGTTCACAAATGTGTACTGACCTAAGATACTTCTGCCCTCCCTCTCTTCGCTCACTTTCATCCCCAAACTTCAGGGCACATCACTTTAGTTTTCCCAGCCTGGGTCTTTCTGGGGCTGTGTTGTGAAATGGAGCAGTGACCTAATTCATGATAAGAATTAACTTATTTTTTAAAAGAATTTTTTCATGTGAACCAGTTTACTGATCTGCTTCATGTATCCCCATGCAGAACTTGAGGCATGTCTGAGGAAGCATTGAACTGCGGGGTTATGAATAGCTTTGTATTATTACTGAAAACGTTTTTACCGGAAACTGTTACTGTGGCCTTTACAATAGGCTACTATTTCTACGAGTACTATGGTGCACTGCCTGACCACAACGTATGTTTCTCTATTGTATTTTATTTCCTTCAAATTTGAAAAGCAGCAAGTTTTAGAAATTTAAATGGTATTTCTGCTGATAGTAGAGCAGGTCTGTTCTCTCATATATATCATCTACTGCTTAAATGCACTGTCTGTATAGTATTAGCTAACATCTAACTCCTTATCCTAAAATGTTATGGCAAATAAATACACAAAATACTTACTATTACGTGTTCATTCCTTCC